ACACACACACACACATGCACATGCACATGCGCGCACGCACATTTGATCTCAAAGCAGTTGGCTTTCTTGGGCTCCTCATCTTCTGGCACAAACCGCACCTGCACACAAGCAAGTCAAGCAGAGGTAGGTGAGCATGACGCCCGTGACCTCCCATGCAACACACACACACACACACACACACACACACACACACACACACACACACACACACACACACACCCACAGACACACACACACAGACACACACACACAGGCACACACAGACACACACATACACACACACACACACACACACACACACATGGCACCCGCATACATGGACAGGTATTGCGAGACACGTCGACCGACGCACCTCGCAGGTGACTTTGCTGTTGAACGGGTTGGTCGTGGGCCGGCGATCTGCCAGCGTGATGGCACCAAGCGGCTTGAAGTCCTGCAATGCGTGCAATAAACAATGGACAGTACACGGTGAACGGTGAACGGTGAACGATGGACGGTGAATCATGTACGGTGCACAGTGACAAGACATCCTGTCCTGACACACACACACATACACACATTCACATAACACACATCACACACACACATACACATAACACACACACATACACATAACACACACAACACACACACACAACACACACACACACACACACACACAACGACACGTACAGATGGGTCTTTGAAGTAGAGGAGCTGCACGCCGCGCAGTGTGAACCATCGCTTCTTCCAAGACTTGACACGCCCACCCTGTTTGGTGAGCCACCCAGAACATGTGTCCTGCCAGCAGCACCATTCAAGAGCACGCACAACAGCCAGTGTCATCAAATGACACACATCGTTGAGCCCATGAACACGCATCTCTCCCCGTGCTTCCCAAGCTCTCCTCCCCCTTCACACACGCACCAGCACACATCACATCATCCCACCTGCGGCATGGTCGTGTGTGTGTGTGTGTTGTGTTGTGTGCGTTTATGTTTTGTGTGATGAAGCGGGAACTGGGGATGGATGATGATGATGAGCTGGGTTCCTTGACTGCTTGTGCGTTTACTTCGAGTTACAATGTGACAACTTGGCTTTCCTGGAGGCCAAGAAGCGAGCAATACAACAACAACAGCACAAAGCTACTGGCGCTAGCTAGAGTCAGGGCATGGCACACGCACGCGTGGGCACTATCTCTGGTGCGGATGGTGCGTTTGCTGGGGCGGAGAGAACGAGTCAAACAAGAGGGGAGGGAGGAGGATGGCAGCTGGGCCGGCCCAATGGGTCATGTAGCGCTGGTACTTGGTGGGCTTGGTGGGGTGGCGGTGGAAGAAGGCGGTGTACAGCCCCCTCTCGTGCGCGTCCTTGAAGAAGTCTGCCGTGGTCTTGTTCACGGCGAAGAGCCAGAGCTGGCAGGCAAGCAGAGCGCCGACGCCCGACAGCAACAGCAGCGCCGGCACAAACACCAGGCTGACGTGCGTGGCCTCTGTGCACGCTGGTACGGCGCCTGAAGGCTGGCCCAGGATGGGCTGCACCCAGCAGTGGAAGAAGGGCGGCCAGCTGACGTATGCGGCATAGGCCATGCCCGTGGTGGCGAGTGTGAGGAACTGGAAGAAGAGCCGGTAGTTGTGCTGGTACACGAGGTTCATGGTGAAGGGGCAGTAGTGGTCGAAGCCTTGCACACGCCTGCGCTTCAGGTCTTCCGGCGGCGGGCGAATCAAGCAGCAGTGGGCGTAGTTGTCCAAGGTGAGCAGCCAGACGACGGTGATGAAGGTGGTGTGCAGCAGGCGCGCCATCTTCGTGTCGGCGACGCGTGGCAGAAAGATGATGTAGTAGTAGGCAATCGCGGCAATGCACACGGCAGCCACAATGCCAATCAAGGCCACAGACACGGTTCGCTGCGTTAACCGCCGCACGCTCCCACGCGCACCGGGCACCAGCGCAAGCACCAGGTCCACCAGCAGCGGCAGCTGCAGCACACCCACGCCGCCAATCAGCGCCCACACCACCCACGACATGGCTGGAAGTGGTGTTGGAGAGGTGTGTTGGAGAGAGAGTGAAAATACGCACACAAATCACACACACGAGCAGAGGAAGGACCACCACGACTTGCTTGCCTTGGTTTCTGCCGACAAGGCAAACGGCGTTGTGCTGTGCTGAGTGCGAGGACGATGGATGAAGATCAACCGCGTGATGTGCTGGCGGGGTGGTGCCCCAAGCCGCCCTGCAAAGTGAACGTGTCGGGCATCCAGACGTTTTTCACGGCGCTGCAGGCTGTTCGAGCCAAGCACGGTAAGTGCGCATGTGCGTGAATGTTTGTGTGGTGTGTGTGTCTGTGTGGTGTGTGTGTCTGTGTGTGTGTCTGTGTGTGTGTGTCTGTGTGTGTCTGTGTGTGTCTGTGTCTGTGTGTGCCTGTCTGTGTGTGTGTGTGTCTGTCTGTCTGTCTGTCTGTCTGTCTGTCTGTCTGTCTGTCTGTCTGTCTGTCTGTCTGTCTGTCTGTGTTTGGTTCAATCAGTTCTCTCTGTTTGTGTGTACGTGTTTGCGCTCGCGCCACGACAAGCACCACGAACAGCCCTCAGTCTCACGCCTTCCCCTTTCCCATTCAACAGGCGACGTACCCGAGGAACACGAACAAGCATTTACACGGTTTCGCATGGCCGTGACAAACGACACCACGGACGAGGAAGTGGAAACTGCGCGCGCAGCGTTACAGCACGCCCTTGAGCGGCTGGATCTCCCACACATCTCCACAGACGTGCAGCCCACCCCAGACATTGCCCGCCCATCCAATCTCGACGGTGTGTGTGTCTGTCTGTCTGTGTGTCTTTGTCTGTCTGTGTCTGTGTATGTGTCTGTGAGTGTGATTGTGTGTGTGTGGGTGGGTGTGTGGGTGGGTGTGTGGGTGGGTGTGTGAGTGGGTGTGTATTGCGCGTGTGCGTCTGTCTGTCTGTGTCTGTCTGTGTCTGTCTATCTGTGTGGCTGTGTGGCTGTGTGTCTGTGTATGAGTGTGTGTGTGTGTGCGTGCCTGTGTGTCTGTGTCTATGATTGTTTCATGCACTCACACGCTCTCTCTCTCACACACTCACACACACACACTCTCTCCCCCTCACACACACACACTCACACACACACACACTCTCTCTCTCTGTGACACACAAACACACACACACACACACACTCCATCTCTTTCTTTGTTCGCCGACGTGTGCGCTCCTGCGTGTCCCTCATGTGCTGTTGTAATCGTGGCCACTCACGTGCGGCACGGGTTTGTGTGCGACGTGCTCACCTGTGCCAGACTTCAGCGGGTTTACCGAGATGCAGCTGGTGGTGCCTGGGCTGTACATTGGCTCGTTTCACCCGGCGAGCAACAAGGACGTCTTGGAGGCGCAGGGCATCACCCACGTATGCTGCTGCGTTGGCGTGGACCCGTACTTCCCAGACGACTTTTTCTACAAGGTCTTGCCTGCCGATGACTCTCCAGAACAGGTGTGTATGTCTCTCTGTGTGTGTTTGTATGTGTGCGTGTCTGTGTGTGTGCGTGTGTGTCTGTCTGTCTGCGTGTCTGCATGTCTGCCTGTGTGTGCGTACCTCTGTATGTTCTGCCTACCTGTCTGCTTGCCTGTCTGCTTGCCTGTCTGCTTGCCTGCCTGCTTGCCTGCCTGTCTGCCAATCTGTCTGTGTTTGTCAAACACACACACACACATGTACACTAATTCTTGACCCTCGCTCGCCCGCTCTGTGCGTGCCCCTGCATGTCACGTGCGCAGGACATGTACCAGTACTTTGAAGACACATACAAGTTCATCCACGATGCCGTTTCGTCCGATGGCCGCGTCCTAGGTGTGAAGTGCACTCTAGTGGACGAGTGATCTCACTGCGGGTGCCGACACAAGCGTACTGAATGCACCAATCTGCCATTCCCCGTCCCGCACCCCCACCCCCTCCCACACGAATGCGTAGCCCGCTCACAATGCAGGTCCCTCTGCCTTCTCATTGCCACGCTTCTTCCCCCCCCCCCCCTCCACTCCACTTCCAAACAGTGCATTGCGGAGCGGGCATTTCCAGGGCAGCGACGATTACGCTGGCGTACTTGCTGCGCTCCCTGCGCATGCCGTTGAACGAGGCGTTCTCCCACCTGCACCACGTGCGCCCCGTCATCAGCCCCAACACCGGATTTGTGCGGCAGCTCCGCCGCCTCGAGGCCGAGCTGGGGCTCAAGGACTCGCCACAGTAGAAGGGAAAACGGGAGCTGAGGGCACCGCTCTCGTGATTGCGACTGTGGTTGTGAAAACTGTGGTTGCAACTATGGTTGCGACTGTGGTTGTGATTTGGTGGTTGTGGTTGTGGTTGTGGTTGTGGTTGATCCTGTATGTTAAACGACACACACACACACACACACACACACACACACACACACACACACACACACACACACACACACACACACACACACACACACACACACACACACACACACACACACACACACACACACACACACACACACACACACACACACACACACACACACACACACAACACAAACACTCACTCACGACACGAAAAAAATACAGTCCACCAGACCTGGCCTGTTTTGTTTAAGATACCAATAAATTTTCCAAGCCCACAAGCAACCACGTGAACAGCACAACACACACGACACACCGCGCGCCCAGAGCACCATAACCCACGCACACCCTGCTGATATCGCCGAGGTTGACGTTCATCCATTCATTCCTTGTAACCCCCGCCTCTTTCAACTACCCCCCACAACACACAACCGCCACCATGGGAGACGAACCAGATCATGGAGTTGAGATGTGGAAGATCAAGAAGCTGATCAAGCAGCTCGAGGCCGCGAGAGGGTATGCATTGTGCATTGCCTGATATCTTCAATCACACACGCACATGCACATGACGCTGTTAATGGTGGTGTCAGCGTTTCTTGGCACCAAACGCATGCGATCGTGCGTTGATGGCCGTCAAACCAACGCTGTGTTCGGCATCATCCCACCACCATGCACTTGCGTTTCTCCCCTGGGCCACACATGCCGCTCCATCCTGTGCGCCCACTCACGTACGTTTTGTCGCTGGCTGTCGTTGTTCCTTTGCCTGGTCATTGGTTTCGTTCGCACGTGTTGTTTGTGGGGCTCCCTGCGTGCAAACAGCAATGGCACCAGCATGATCTCCCTCATCATCCCTCCCAAGGACCAGATCCCGCGTGTGCAGAAGATGCTTGCGGATGAGTACGGCACAGCATCCAACATCAAGAGCCGAACGAACAGGTAAGGATTGCGGGTGAGGCAACACAGCAGGGCACGTTGGCGATGGAGGCGAATGCGTCCGTGATGCTGTCCAGGGTGTTGTGTTTGTTGTCATTTTCATCCACCCTCTTTGATGCTGCTCACACACGCACATGCACACGCACACCTCAGGTTGTCTGTGCTCGGCGCCATCACATCTGTGCAGCAGAGGTTGAAGCTGTATTCCAAGGGTAAGCAGGCAACCGTCTGTGATGTTCCTCAATTCGCGCGCGCTTTTGTGCGTGTGTGTGCGTGTGTGTGTGTGTGTGTGTGTGTGTGTGCGTGCGTGTGTATGTGTGTGGGTGCGTGCGTGCGTTGTTGCCTCCTTGCAGGGTAGCGCTTACGCGCTTGCTTGCATGCTTGCAGCGTTTCACACGCCAACGTGTACGCACTCGCAAACAACTCTTTCACGCACGCTCACAATCTCCCTCCACTTCCTGCCAACACCCTGAACGAAACAAACCATTGCACGTGTGGCACGATTATAGTGCCCGACAACGGCCTGGTGGTGTACTGCGGCACCATTGTCACGGAGGAAGGCAAGGAGAAGAAGGTCAACATTGACTTTGAGCCCTTCAGGCCCATCAACACATCGCTGTACCTGTGCGACAACAAATTCCACACAGAGGCGCTCTCCTCCTTGCTTGAGGACGACTACAAGTTTGGCTTCATTGTCATGGATGGCCACGGGTCCCTCTTTGGCACCCTCTGCGGCAACACCCGCGAAGTCCTGCACAAGTTCTCCGTCGACCTGCCCAAGAAGCACGGTGCGTGCAGATCATAGGGAAAATGCGCCGTGTGATGTGTGCATTTTGTGTGTGTGTGTGTGTGTTGTGTGTGTGCGCTCTGTACGTGTATGTGTGCATCTACGTGTTTGGACAGACAGTGGGTGCTGTGCTTTTCCTCGATACATGCTTGCTTGGAGCGGGCCTGCCGCCAGTTAACTTTTTTCGTTTTTTCGCGGTCTCACCCACCCCTTTCCCCTTTTGTACTGCAGGCCGCGGTGGTCAGTCTGCCGTTCGTTTCTCGCGTTTGCGCACGGAGAAGCGCCACAACTACGTGCGAAAGGTCGCCGAGGAGGCCGTCCGCCACTTTATCACAAACGACAAGGTCTCGCTCACCGTGTACTGTGCTCTGTGTTGTGTGTGTGTGTGTGTGTGTGTGTGTGTGTGTGTGTGTGTGTGTGTGTGTGGCACTGTCTTCGTTTGCTGTGAGCGCTTGTGTTTTAGTCCGCCCTGGTGCTCTGCATCCACACGCTGCGTCGCTCTTTTATCCACCATCTCACACGATCCAAACACTTGTGTGTGTGTGTGTGTGCACATGTCAGGTGAACGTCACGGGTCTTGTCCTCGCCGGTTCTGCCGACTTCAAGTCAGAGCTCAGCAAGTCAGACATGTTCGACCCTCGCCTGCAGGTAAAACACGCGTAATGCTGCGATGCACAAGCTTTACAAGCAAGAAAATGGGGTGCGAGAGTGTTTGTGTGTGTGAGTGTGCCACTTGGTAGCCCTGTCTCCCTCCTCCTCTTTTCATTCCGCTTCCCCTCATCACCACCCTCCCCCCCCCAACCCTTGTACCGTTCACCAGGCGAAAGTGATCAAGCTTGTTGATGTGTCGTACGGCGGAGAGAACGGATTCACGCAGGCGATTGACCTTGCGGCGGAGTCGCTGGCGGACGTCAAGTTTATCCAGGAGAAGCGCCTCATTGCGCAGTACTTTGACGAGATTGCCCAGGACACGGGCAAATACTGCTTTGGCGTCGGCGACACCATCAAGGCCCTCGAGCTCGGTACCGCGTCACGTTCTTGCTTGTGTTGGTGTTCGTCTGTGTGTCTATGTGTATGTCTGTGTGCGTCTGTGTATCTCTCTCTCTCTGTGTGTGCGTCTGTGCATGTGTGCGTCTGTGTGTGTATGGGTGCGTGTGTGCGTGTGCGTGTACTATTTTTGTTTTGATGTTCCTTCGTGCTGCTCACAACTAACCAACACCCTCCAACATCCCCCGCCCCACCCATTTTCCATTCCATTCCGCGGACAGGTGCTGTTGAGAAGCTGATTGTGTGGGAGAACCTTGACGTGTCGCGGTTTGAGCTGAAGAACCCCTCCACAGAGGCCATCACCGTCGTCCACCTCCGCCCAGACCAGGAGCAGGAGAAGTCGCACTTTGTCGACCCGGTGCGTGACCCGGGATACCATCCCATGATGTGTTTTCGGTTTGTCGCTCGGGCTTGTAGTTGAGAGAGGGATGGGTTGCGTTGGTGGGGCGAAGCGCAACGTGTACAACGTTTACAGCGTGTGTAACGTGTGCAACGTGTGCAACGTGTACAACGTGTACAGCGTGTACAGCGTGTACAGCGTGTACAACGTGCGCTGGTTCATGCCACCACGTTACATACCTCCTGGCTAACACCACACTTCTCTTTTTCTTGCTTGTGCGTGTTGTATCGATGTGTGCGTGTGTGCACAGGACGGGACGGATCTTGAGATTGTGTCGAAGGAGCTGCTGATTGAGTGGTTCTCTGAGCACTACAAGGAGTACGGCACCTCCCTCGAGATTATCACAGACAAGTCCCAGGAGGGCTCCCAGTTCTGCAAGGGCTTTGGCGGCATTGGCGGTGCGTGGCGATTTGTGTGTGTGTGTGTGTGTGTGTGTGCGTTTGCTGCGAGTGGGTGGTGTGGTTATTTCTGCGTTTGCTGTGTGTGTATGTGTGCACTGTTTGTCTGCGTTTTCCGTGTTTGTTCACGTGGCTGCTTGTGCAACTGAACCGCTGCAAGTGCTTTCCATTCACGACCCCTCCCCCATTCCCCTTCCTTGCTGGCAGGCCTGCTTCGTTACCGCGTCGACTTCACCATGATGGAGTACGAGGGCGAGGACTATGACGACGAGGACCTCGACGGTTACTTCTAAGCTCCCAAACCCAGCCACCGCAACCACACCCACCGCAACCACACCCACCGCAACCACGGCCACCGTAGCAATAGCCACCGCAACGCCAACCACAGCAACCACTGCAATTACACCCACGTCAACCAGCCCCTCTCCCCGCTTTGCACACGCAACTTTGCATCACTACCTCGTGTCCGACATTGTGTGGTGAAGGAAAGTGAGGCTGACTGACTGATTGTTGTCGGACATTGTGCCACTCGATTGTCGCTGGGCTCGTGGTTGCACACTTGCGCTGTTTCTTTCTCCTTGCCCCCCTCCCTTCTCTCTGCTCCCCCGCCCTTATTTCGGGTTTTCTTGTCTCGTTCTCCGTTTGCTTCTCCTTTGTGTGTGGCTCTCTTCTTAGAATCAAGCTGTGGTAGTGATGTGACACGATGATAATGTTCGTGTGCGTATTGTGATATGAAGCGTCGTTCTTGCCTTGCATGAATGGCCAAGGATCGTGTGATGTTTTGTTTGTGTTGTCATCTTTTCGTTCCTTCTCCTACCCTCTTGTTCTTCATTGGTGTCGTTTTGGTGATGACGCTGAATGTGTTTGTGCGCGTTTCTGCTCTCTGAAACTTCGGCGACAACAAAGTAACCAAAGTACACCCCTTTAAGGCACATCTATCATTGCACTACCGCATCACAGCGGCATGCTGAGTTGGGGATGGACACGGGCGAGGTGGTGAAGGATCACCGAAAAAGGGATGTGCTCCTTTTATGAAACACGTCTCACTTACATGCAACACCCTCGAGACACACACACACACACACGCACACATACACACACACACGCACACATACACACAAACACATCAAGGTAGACAAGAGAAGAAGCAAAGAAGAAAGAAAGGAAGCAAGGAAGACTCAGAGTCAGAAGACTGAAAGGAAAGAAAGAAAGAAAGAAAGAAAGAAACGCACGCTCATATTGGGTGACGATTCCGTGCAATAATTTTTGGACTTGAGCACATTGCAGGAACGACGAAGATGATGACTGCCGCCGCCACGATGTTGTCGTCCTGCGTGCATCGCGTAGTGCTGCTGCCAGCACTCCGCACAGCGCAAGCAACAGCCGCCAGGTACGCGCGCGCGCGTGTGCGTGTGTGTACGTGTGTGTACGTGTGTGTGTGTACGTGCATGTGTGTGTGTGTGTGTGCTTGCATCCACGCATTCGTCTCGCGGCTGTGTATCACAAACAGGACGTCCACACACACGAACACAACCACACAATCACACACGAATACACACACACATACACACACACACGAACACACACACACACACACACACACACACACACACACACACACACACACACACACACACACACACACACACACACACACACACACACGAACACAACCACACAATCACACACGAATACACACACACAATGACGCGCACACATTCACAGACCTGCGGCGTTGCGGAGGATCCACACTGTGCGTTCAGCCCTGGCTCCCGTGACAAGCAAGCCCATGCTTGCACAGCCACCGTCGTCACAGTCTTCTTCACAACCATCTCAAACACAAAACGCACCAGAGTCCTTCATGTCAAAGCTTGTCAAAGGTGTGTGTCTGTGTGTGCGGTCTTTGTCTGTCTGCAGTTGACAACTGTGTGGGTGTCAGCGCTGCTGATCGCTGTTTTGCTTGTGCCAAGGCACTCACAACCTTCACCGCTGACGCGTTGCTGCGACTGCGTCCCTCCTGCTGTCGCCAGGGCTGGGTGTGCTCGGTGGATTCTACTCAAAGCGGCAAGTGCAGGCAAGGAGCGCGCAGCTCCTCTACAGCTCA